CTACTTTGTTTGGCCTTTCAAAAGAGGACGATATCTGCTTCGTCATGCCTAGAGCTGATCTGTGCTGGTCGCTGAGGAAATACATCAACTTCGTGCTGTGGATCGCCGGATCGGCTTTCACCGTGGATGAAGCGTAGTCCAGCCCGGGGTCGTCACATGTGGTTGCCGCAAGCCCGCAGGCCTCCGCTCACTCAAGGCCGCGGTGTGTGACGCTGTTTCGTTGTGAAAGCGAAATTACTTTGTTTGGCCTTCCAAAAGAGGACACTACTAGAAACCGGTGGTTAAGTTGTATTTACAACACTGTTCCAGAACAGTTCAACCCAAATATTCAGATGTGTGCAGCACATTTTATGGAGGACTGTTTCCTGATCCTGGGAGAGTAGACTACAATGCCGGCTGTTCTGACTCACAGACTGTAAAGTTTTTTATATTTAAAGAATTTGCCACTGATGATTCAAACGCGAGTTTTGAGCAGTGTAGAGTAGCGCTTGTTGTTAGTCATCACAATCACAAATGCAGACATGGTTTTATGCTTATGCGGCGCGATGCTATGCAATGCGTAAAAAGACAGTATAAGTCATTATAATCTGTAATTATGTCCCCACTGGATGCAACAAATGCCTCGTTTGTAATGGGTTTTATTGGTTCTGTCTCGTCATGCCGGGAGACGGCATCACAGTAGGGTAAGGGGCGTAACATTTCTGTCACACGCTTGAGGTATTCGGCCAATCACAACACACTGGATAGCTGGCCAATCACAGCACACCTCGCTTTTCAGACCAATGAGCTTTGTAAAAATCGACGCGTTTCAGAAAGACGGGGCATAGAGGAGAAACAATAATGCACAGTATGTGGAAAAGGCCAATCAGAGCACACCTCGCTTTTCAGACCGATGAGCTTTGTAAAAATCGACACGTTTCAGAAAGGCGGGGCATAGAGGAGAAACAATAATGTACAGTATGTGGAAAATAATGTGTTTTTTTAACCTTAAACCGCATAAACACATTGCATTACACCAAATACACAAAATAATGTTCTTTTTAGCAACATCATATGACCCCTTTAACACACTAATTTCAGATACAGCCATGTACAACACAACCCTGGCTCCCCCCAAAACCGGTCCTCCCATCAGCAATCAGCCAGGTCAGATTTCCCGCTGTTCCTGAATCAGTCATATGTTGAGAACCAGCAGTTTCTGTTATAACCCATTTGAATAAACTTCACTCACCTTTTCTGGAGTGTAATTTCATCATCAGGTTATCTTTCTCTTTATCCCCTTCTTAGGGGATGACCCCACCCACAAAGTAGATGACAGCAACACCCGGATCCTGATTGGCTGCTTGGTTGCCATCATCTTCATCTTAGTGGTCATTATTGTTATTATACTATGGAGACAAGTGTGGCAGAAGATGCTTGAGAAGGTGAGAGGCTTGTGTCTGGCAGAAGCTTCAAATAAAGAAGCTATTTCAAATAAATGCTTTTCTTTTGAACTTTCTGTTCATCAAATAATCTTGAAAATAAAATGAATCACGGTTCTGAAGGATCATGTGACACTGAAGAGTAGCATAATGCCTTCTGAAAATTCAGCTTTTCCATCACAGAAATCAATTGCATTTTAAGATAAATTAAGATAGAAAATAGTTATTTTAAAATGTAATATTAAACAATATTACTATATTCCAATATTACTTATATGAACATAAAAGACTTCTTTTAAAAACATTAAAAACCTTTTTAATTTTGCCTAATTATGTGTACAGTTAAGATGTCATATGATGTCTTTAACTCAGAATGTTCCCACATGAACTTCTTGCATAAATTGTTCATTTTGCACCAGACCTTAACATATAAAACAAGGTTGATTATGACAAGCTTTTATTGTAGTCTTACTGCATGACCCCTAAACAGTGTGATGCTATTTTGCATATGAATGAAAAAAAACAGTAATGCATAAGTGGATTGTAAATATGATTTCATAGATATATATTTTAGCCTTTTTTAGCGTTTTTCACTAAACATCCTTCATTCCAGGTGTCTCGGAGGATGCTGGACGATGAACTAACTGCTAGTCTGTCAATACAGAGTGAGACCTTCACCTATAACAACAACAGCCCCTCTTCAGTGTCCAGCGAGCAAGAGTCCAACTCTACCTATGAGCGCATCTTCCCTCTGGGACCCGACTACCAAGAGCCATCCTGCCTGGTTCGCAAACTGCCCGAGTTTTCCCAAACCTCAGAGGACACCGGTGAGTTCCAGAAGCGATGTATGGAGTATATATGGGTATTCCATACATATTATGCAATAGCATATATACATGTTTATTTTTCTGCAGCTTCAACAAATACAGCTTCCAAGTCCGCTCCAGCCAGTGTACAAGAGGGAGTCCCACATTACGCTGAGGCAGACATCGTCAACCTGCAGGGTGTAACTGGGGGCAACACTTACGCAGTGCCCGCCCTTACCATGGACCTGCTGTCAGGGAAGGATGTCGCTGTGGAAGAATTTCCTCGGAAGCTGCTTACCTTTAAAGAAAAGTTGGGAGAAGGGCAGTTTGGAGAGGTCAGTTCTCAAATAACAAACAAAAATCTTCATTTATGAAAAAACTCCTATTCTATATACTGTTCAAAAGTTTTCAAATGTAATTTATTCCAGTGATGGCAAAGCTGAATTTTCAGCAGCCATTACTCCTGTCTTCAGTGTCACATGATCCTTCAGAAATAATTGTAATATGCTGATTTGGTGCTCAAGAAACATTTATTATTATTATTGTTATTATTATCAATGTTGAAAACAGTTAGTTGTGCTGCTTAATATTTTTGGGGAAACCACGATACATTTTTTATGAATCTTTGATTTATTGAAAGTATAATATTTATAATGTTTATTAAAATTGAAATCTTCTGTAACATTATAAATGTCACCTTTGATCAATGTAATGTGTCCTTGCTGAATAAAAGTATTATTTTCTTTAAAAAACATACTGACCCCAGACTTTTTGAATAGAGCATGTTCAATGATTTTAAATCAAATATTTAAATCATATCTGCCCTAGTGAACAATAAATATCCTAAAATGTATTTGAAATACATTTATTTAATGCTAAGTATACTATAAGTACATTTACATATTTATGTATATATATGTTTTGTATACTAAACTGGTAGACTGCTAAATTGAAACAACTAATTTTGTGCTTAATGCACTTTAATTGTGCGGAAGTAGTGCTGAAGATTAACTAAAGATATACTTAAGTATATTTGATTGTGCTTAAGTGGAGCTATTGCAAGTAAACTTTAGGTACACTTTAAATATCTTGCATTTAAAGATCGATATTATTCAAAGATCATATAATCCTCATCAATAGTGACATTAAAGCACATTTTAGGTTCAATATTAAGAAATGTGATTTGTGCACAAGTAGTACTCCAAATAAAGTTTAATTATGATTTGTATATCAGTAAGTCTCGAGCAATATGTCAGTAAATAGATTTGAACTATATTTGAAATAAATGAATTTAATGTTACTTTTTTACCAGGGTGAATATGCTAAATGACTGTTTTTGCGTGTTGCCAGGTGCATTTGTGTGAAGCAGAAGGCATGCAAGATTTCATGGATGAGGACTTCTCCTTCGATGTCATTGAAAACCAAACAGTGCTTGTAGCTGTTAAAATGCTTCGAGCGGATGCAAATAAAAACGCTAGGTTTGCAAGCCCAAATGTCACAGTCATGACTTCCATAAATTACAGTACAACACTGTCACTGCATCCTAATGAACATGCATGCTGTTGCGTTAATATTTATGAATTTCCATTCTTGAATTTTTATACTTTACAGGAATGATTTCTTGAAGGAGATAAAGATCATGTCACGATTGAAAGACCCCAACATCATCAGGCTGCTGGCGGTGTGTATGAGCTCTGACCCTCTGTGTATGATCACAGAGTACATGGAGAACGGAGACCTTAATCAGTTCCTGTCTCGCCATGAGCCTGAGGGCATGATCGCTCTCCTCAGCAATGCTCCCACAGTCAGGTAGATGCCAAACATTTTCAAACATTACAGTGGTGGACTGTGACTCTAAATCCCTAAGAATTAAGATGGACTCATTATTATCATTATTATGAACAGAAACGGAAATCTGATGAATCAACAAGCAACATGTTATTGCTAAACTGAATTGTTAGGTAATGTTCTTAAGCACACCAGGTTATGACTCACATTCTGCTTTAACTGTTTCAGTTACAGTAACCTACACCACATGACCTCACAGATTGCTTCAGGCATGAAGTATCTATCATCACTCAACTTTGTGCATCGAGACTTGGCCACACGCAACTGCCTAGTAGGAAAAAACTACACCATCAAGATCGCAGACTTCGGGATGAGTAGGAACCTGTATAGCGGAGACTACTACCGTATCCAGGGTAGAGCGGTGCTGCCCATCCGTTGGATGTCCTGGGAGAGCATTCTTCTGGTCAGACACATTCACAACCTAAAGAAATTATAAATTATACTCTGAAAAGTCTCCTAGAAGAATACTTTTTGTATTTTTGGGCTTCAAATGAATCTCTAGTGATCTTGCTGTGTGTAAAAACAGATTCTATGTCTATAAAAGTCTGACACATGATGATTTTTGTCCTTACAGGGGAAATTCACCACATCCAGTGATGTGTGGGCTTTTGGCGTAACCCTTTGGGAGATGCTTACCTTCTGCAAAGAGCAGCCTTACTCACAGCTGTCAGATGAGCAGGTCATTGAAAACACAGGAGAGTTCTTTCGGGATCAAAGGAGACAGGTACAAGTATATCTGCTTATCTGCTTTTGTGTAGAGGTGGATGAGATCTGATTAAACTGATCTTATTTATCCATACATTTATCATTAAGGTTCTGTATTGACATCCATGGTTTTAACTTTTAACATCCATTGAACCTTTTCATTGCACTTAAGATTCTTCATAGTCAAAAACGTTTGTTTGGTTTGCTCTTCACACTAAGAGAAATAACAGTTCTTTTAACCCTCCTGTTGTGTTTAAAACCTTGGTAGAACTTTTGTGTTGGGGTCAAATTGATCCACATTGGTGCAATTTACTGAAAATCAACACTATGGAAAATACAAATGAAAAACACAGGATTGCTGTAAAAACAGAAAACCTCTATTGTAGCTTTTTAGAGACTAAAACAATCAAATATGTGAGAAATATAATAATTAACCAATGTGTTTGGCGTTAGTTTGACCCATATATTGTTACATTCAAAATTAACTGCACAGACACAAAATTAAAAAAAGAAAGAAGGAAAGAAAGAAAATAATTTTAATATTTAATGCTATTTGTATTTACTTTGTCTGGGGGAACCCAAAATGGTTCTTCTATGGCATCACAACAAAAAAACCCTTTTAGAATCTTTTTTTTTTTTTTAAAGAGTGTACCACTTCTTATTCTCAGATATACCTGCCTCAGCCACCAATGTGTCCTGACCCTGTCTACAAGCTCATGTTGAGCTGCTGGAACAGGAATACCAAAGAGCGTCCATCCTTCCAGGAGATTCATCACACGTTACTGGATTGCAAGCCGTAGTGTCCACTTATGTGCCAGCCTTGGCACTTCCAGAGACATTTCAGTGCGCCCACAGGACTCCAGTCAACTGTACACCGTAACACATACTTATATGTTTCCGTATATAAGTGAGATCAGAATCTATCATTTTTCTGTAGCAATTTTCACTGTGAGTGTGCAAAGGCAAACTGATATATATTGTAAGATTGAACTACACCCCGTAACTAAGTGCCTTCAGCTGGCTTACAATACCTGGGCAGCACTAGGACAAAGAAAATGTAGCAATGAATTTAGGCACCTTTATCACAGAATAATTGGATTTTACACACTGTGTATTTTCTCCAAATAACTCTAAATATTCTAAAATAGCCATTAGAATATTTTTGAATAGAAAGAGGAAATGCCAAAAAACAAGGTATCGGCTACTAATGCGCCTTTTATTATTTCCAATTTAATGTTGTTTTCAGTATTTTGAGGCCGAAGACAGCTTGAATGTAAATAAGAATCATTAATTGACATTCAGATTCACCTTCGGTTTTATCTTGATGTCTCTTGACGTTTGTGTATATTTTCATCTCATTTATCGAAAATGCTAAAGTATTTTATTATTTTACTTTTTTTTTCTTCTTTGTAGTAAACTGCAAAGACCACTTGCACTCAAGTGGATTAACAGAAAGCCAATTTATCTGGTTGTCACAGAATTTCAAAATTCAAAATCATAAAAATTCAATTAAAATTGTACATGTAAAAATATATATTAGTGTTATCCTGCAACTACCTATATATTGTGTTTATATTTAAGCGTACTGCATTATATACGTGTTTTGCTTTTCTTCTTGTTTTATTGTCTAAAAAAATCTTGTTAGGGTGATAATGGTTATTATTTAAGTCCATTTCATTTGTGCTCTTTTATTTTTTCTTTGCTCAAAACAACTTTTGCATTTCAGCATAATGAGCTATGAATAGCCATAATTCTTTTACAGAAATGTCTTACAATATTTGCATGAAGTTGGATGAAATCAGATATAGTTATATTACTGAATGCTAATTTCACATTTTCATTGCATTTGTCCTATATTTTCATCTAATCTCAAATTAGGCCAAATGGGGTAGTAAGTACATTTGTTATTACCAGCTAATTTTGTTTATCTGTAAAAAATATTAAAATAAGCTTATTTTAAAGCTGTTTGTCTTACTTTTATATCAGAGTATATTCTAGGTGGTGCTGAATTGCTATAGTTTGGGATAAATACTGGATTTGTATTGAACAGATGCACTGTGATGGTTTACAGTAAGTTATGATATGTTTTGGCATGTGAAAAGTGCTGCAAATGGGACACTCGGAAATCTGTTTTGTAATTAACTTGTATACATGTAAATCATTTTTGTAAGGTCATTGTATATGACCATATTTTTTAAAATGTGTGCACCTTTTGGGGTTGGTTGAGATATCTGCCAGTCTATAATACGTGTTTTGGTTGTGGGTTTGAAAGTCATTTATCTTTGTGTATAGATTAATTTTAGCATTCTTGACATGACTGATGAAGTTGCATTATAGGTATGCTTTAATTCTGCACTGTTTAAATGTTTTATCAGCTGGTTTTTCAACAAGTCTATTAAATGTTCTTCCTTCAAACCATAACCACATGAACCAGTAATAGCCCTTTCTGAGGCTTTGAGTTTGTTTACAAAAACATTCCACTTTATAAAACAGATTTGTGAGGAGAGGAAAAATTAACATTTGTCATATTCTCTATATTGACAGCATATCACAATGCATGGAAAAACTGGTTTTTTTTTTTTTTATTCATAGCAAAATTTCCTTTGGGTGATGCTTATTCTTTCTAATCTATGCTTTGTACTGTATTTTTTATTAGCAGTCCTCTAACAATTTTTCTCTAACAACCTATTGTATATGTTAGGAAACTGTACATAAGATAATAAATTGATGAACCTTTAAACTTGTTGTCTAGACATTTTATAATTATAAAAGCACGGATTTCATACTTTAACAGTAATAAAACCTGTATTTGTATACAGTACATGAGTGAATTTGACATTTGTGTACAGCCTTGAATGTATCAAGACATTCATTTTAACATCGTTTGTACTCAAATATTTGCTTTTTAAATCGTTCGTTTCGTGCATTGGTTACCTGTCAAATAAATATGATTTTAATTGTGAGGAGAGGAAAAATTAACATTTGTCATATTCTCTATATTGACAACATATCACAATGCATGGAAAAACTGGGTTTTTTTTTTTATTCATAGCAAAATTTCCTTTAGGTGATGCTTATTCTTTCTAATCTAAGCTTTGTACTGTATTTTTTATTAGCAGTCCTCTAACAATTTTTCTCTAACAACCTATTGTATATGTTAGGAAACTGTACATAAGATAATAAATTGATGAACCTTTAAACTTGTTGTCTAGACATTTTATAATTATAAAAGCACGGATTTCATACTTTAACAGTAATAAAACCTGTATTTGTATACAGTACATGAGTGAATTTGACATTTGTGTACAGCCTTGAATGTATCAAGACATTCATTTTAACATCGTTTGTACTCAAATATTTGCTTTTTAAATCGTTCGTTTCGTGCATTGGTTACCTGTCAAATAAATATGATTTTAAAATTCAGTTTCTGAATTTTCTGCTATCGCATTTCTTTGGATTCCGACGATTGGTTAGCCTGGTCTGACAGTGGCTAAGTCTGGATTGGTCAGGGTAGATGTCACGTCACAGAAAGGAAACATCTGATTGGCCGATAGAAGTGTGACCTCCAATCACACCATGGCGGCTGTGCAAACTCCATCCATACAGACACTGGTGAAATACCACGTTAGAAACGGTTACGAAGGGAAAGTACAGTATCACAGGTAGCATAGTCATATATTGTATGAATGTAAAGATAGGATGAAGAAAGTAGTGTTGGTAACCGGTGCAAACAGGTAACGAAACTGTTTGTATAATTGCTTTCTTTACAGTTTCACATCACTGTTTTAAATGTCATTCTGTTATTATTGTAGTGACAACTTTTAGGTTATTTTTTAATAATGCTATTTTAAAACAACAAAGAAACCGAAAGGAAGAAATTAGGAATATTTTGTTTATAAAGTGTATTATTCTACAGTTGTTATATTCTGTATATATAACCAGTAGTTGAGAAAACATGTTGCATAATGTCTCTTTTTCTCTGCATGTTAATGTTCACTCCATATAACCCTGTTTGCATACATGTGTATGTTCACTCCATATGAACCTGTTTACATGCATGTGTTTATTGTGCGTTCAGTGGTATTGGCCTTGCTCTGTGTGAGCGTCTATTAAGCCAGGATGCCCAGCTGCAGCTCTGTCTGGCCTGCAGGAACATGCAGAGAGCTGAGGCTGCCCGACAGACTCTTCTAGTGTCTCACCCTCAAGCTCAGGTTACTCTGCTGCACTTAGATGTGGGCAACATGCGCTCTGTGCTCAGTGCTGCTGAGGAGTTCAAGCAGAAGTAAGACATCCCAGTCCCTGTTTGCCAAAATACACTATAATTTTGATAGACTTAATGCTTTTCATACAGTTTTGTGACCAGGGGGATGTCAGGCTCTAAAAAGCTCCATAATAGTAATCCATTGACTCATCCACTATATTCCAAGTCTTGTCAAGTCGTCTCATAGTTTTATGTGAGGAACAGACTAAAATTTAAGTTGCACTGCACTGTAGTTCTGAAATCTCATTTGTGCTTATTAAAATTTAGTACACTACAATTAGTAAGCATGAATCAATGCTGTCTGAACTGTTTGGGTACTTTTGAATTCCCTTGCATAAATTTATGCAAAATTAAGCAGATTAGGTGTCACTTAGGAGCACATTTGAAACCTCCAGTCTGATTAAAGTATAACATTAAATAAATGATATAATATAACGGTAAATAAACTTTAAAGCGTTATTTAACTTAAACGTGTTTAAAACGTCTTTTTTTCCCTCAACAGGTACAACAGATTGGACTATTTGTATCTCAATGCTGGTATCATGCCTAATCCCAGGGTAGATCACAAAGCCTTTTATAAAGGCCTGTTTTCTAGGTACAGTATTTCTTTCTTTAACACTGCCGTTTCAAATTTTTGGGTCAGTAATTTTTGTTTTTTTATTAATTTTATTCAGCAAGGATGGATTAAATTAATTAAAAGTGACAGTAAAGACAGTATTATTATTATTATTAGTAGTAGTAGTAGTAGTATGTTTTATGTTTTCAACATTAATAATAATACAAAAAATAAATGTTTCTTGAGCACAAAATCAGCATATTAGAATGATTTCTGAAGGATCATGTAACACTGAAGACTGGAGTAATGGCTGCTGAAAATTCAGCTTTGCCAATAAATTACATTTTAAAATATTCTGAAATAGAAAATATCATTTTAAATTGTAATAATATATCACAATATGATGCATGGTGGCCATAAGAGACCAAAGACTTCAGATACAAATTTTAAAAAATCTTACTGTCCCCAAATTTTTGAACAGTGGTTCATAGTTTCTAAATATATTCTATAAAGCAAGGTTGTGCTCCAACATTACATTCCTCAACTGTAAATCTGATATTACTGTCATATTATTTACTACACTTGAACATAATAATAAAATACAGTACATAACCTGTGCATACTATAAAAATTTGTATACATATATATACATATAATACTCGCATAACCAGATTAACCAAAAATGTGCTTATAATGCATTCATCATGCATCAGCCAGTGATTCAGTATTATACTTTTCATAGCATTAATTGTTGCATACTGTATATACTTCTTTTAACTTAGTATAAGTTAGTGTAGTTATTATTATATATGCACGTGTGTGTGTGTGTGTGTGTGTGTGTATATGTGTATATATATATATATATATATATATATAATGAAAAATGATGTCGGTTAATTATTTTTTCAAACTCAGACTCATTAGCCTTGGCTCTTTTTCTGTGAAGAGCTTATATCAGAACAAATTTTTAATGACCACACACTACACAATGACCCCCCTACACATTTATATTACATGCAGGATGTTCGGGTCCACTGGACACGGGGATAATAAAAGTGTGGAAATTTTAGGTCCTGTGAACCTTCACTCTGTCCTCCTACTGCAGTGTTTCTCAACCCTGGTCCTGGGCGCCCCCCAGCACTGCACATTTTCTGCCCCTGCCGTTCCTGCACAAGGTTGTAGAACTTTAATTCATAAATGTGATCTAACAAAGGTAAAGGGCAAATATTAACCATATATGCTGTTTATATTGCTTGTAATTGGGATGAAGTATAGATCTGTTGAGTATTTTATCAAAATTGTTTGATTGTGTTGAATTAAAAACCCCAAAATGCAACTGGCCCACCAGACCCACAAACACTGGCTGAATAATTCATTGTTATATTTTTCTTCCCATCAGTAATGTGGTTCGCATGTTTGCCACGGGGGAGGGTCTTCTGACCCAGGAAGATAAGGTCACACCCAATGGTTTGCAGGAGGTGTTTGCCACTAATCTTTTTGGTCATTTCCTTCTGGTAAGTTGATGGATTAGAAATGAGTGTGTTTCTATGACCATACATAAAAATAAAAATGTTTCTACGTTATTTCCATAGGAGCATAGCTGCGGTAGAACACTTCACTTTTTTCTGTCTTTTCCATGCAACGCTATCAAACAAATCATCTTCCTCTAAAAGATCTCCTGGAACAATATTTCAACCATAAATGCCACAGGATTCATTTCACTGTTGTTAACAACTTGTTCCCTGGCAGCTGTCCCAATCAATAATTCATCCGAACATCTCTAGTGCTGAAGTTATTTTGAGTCCTAAAATTGCAGCCCTGTGCTTCTTTGTGAAGTGTTGCTGTTTGCTAATTGAAGAGCTCATTCATTTGCTCTAAAGCATCTGGTCATCAGTGCTGGAAGTCGGGCAGCAGCGTTCTTTCCTCGTGCTTCTTTATACAGTTGTGTTATTGTGGCTCAAGTGGCTCAGACATTAAAGTTGCAGTAGATATGACACTCCATGTCCTCGAAGGCCAGACAAGACATATCAATTTTCTGCTGGGACGGCACCGAGTGAGGCTTGTATTTCTTGTCAAGTTGACCTCTGGTTCTCTCTCATCCCACACACTGAAATTCTTTTTGATTATTTTATATATATATATACACATACAGGTGCATCTCAATGAATTAGAATGTCAAAAATGGAAATCTTGTGTTACAATATACACTACCGTTCAAAAGTTTGGAGTCAGTAAATTTTTGTCTTTCTTTTTTTGAAAGTAATGAATACTTTTATTCAGCAAGGGTGTGTTAAATGGATAAAAAAGTGATAGTAAAGACTCATATTGTTAGAAAAGATTTTAAAAATCTACATTACTGTTTAAAGGTTATATAGATATTTAAATGTTACAAAAAGAATGTTGTTCAGTAAATTCAATTTTAAATAAATGTTGTTCTATTTAACTTTCTATTTCTCAAAGAATCCAGAAAAAACACTATAACATAACATAAGCAATACAACTGTTTTCAATATTGATAATAAAATTATTTCTTTCTTGAGCACCAAATCAGAATGTTAGAATACTTTCTGAAAAATCTTGTGACATGTGACTGTCTGGAGTATTGGCTGCTGAAAAATCAGCTTGATATAAATTACATTTTAAAATATGTTAATATAGAAAACAGCTATTTAAATTTTTAATAATTAAGTTTTTACTCTATTTTTTATTAAATAAATGCAGCCTTTGTGAGCATAAGAGACTTCTTTCAAAAACATAAAAAGAGTAGTGTATATTTTTCTTTTTTAATTCATAATTTATATACAAGTCTTTTTTATGGCTCAGCTAATGGTGAAAGTTTATGCACTGTTAAAAATCAAAAGTTGAGAAAACTTAAAATTTTATAAGTTTTCTCAACTTTTTGTGGTATAAACTGAATACAACAAGTTGAGAAAACTCAAAAATCTCCTGAAGCTGGTTGCCTTAAACTTTTAAGTTTTCTCAACTTTAGATTTTTTTACAGTGTGGCCAAACAATGGAGGCAAAATTGTTTAGCACTTTAAATGGTGCAGAAATTAAGCAGTACAATTCCTGATCCAACTGCATTTTTTGCTTCTGTGACAGGTGAGAGAACTGGAGCCCATATTGTGTCAGATGGACCACAATTCTCTAGTGATCTGGACATCCTCCAGTAATGCCCAGCGATCGGCTTTTAGTCTAGATGACATACAGCATCAGAAAGGCCGTGAGCCCTACAGCTCCTCGAAATATGCGTCTGATCTACTTAGCTTAGCCCTAAACCATCACTACAACAACCGTGTAAGTTCACAGTTCCCTACAGAAAATGGTTTATTGCATGGCATGTTTCATACCGTAATAATTAATGATTATCATAATTGTGATTTAGTCATGAATACTAGTGATCTGTTCACAGGGTTTGTACGCATCAGTGATCTGTCCTGGGCTGGTCATGACTAACCTCACCTATGGCATTCTACCATCATTCTTCTGGACTCTCATCATGCCTATAATGTGGCTTGTAGGTCCTCAATTTACTTTACTTTTTGTATATCAACACAATAATAGGAAAGTCACACAAATCTAACATTGTGTTAATGTCCTGTCCTATCTCATCAGATAAGGATATTCACCAGCACTTTTACCCTCTCACCTTACAATGGAGCAGAGGCTTTGGTAAGTACCACCACCACCACCACCACAAATGTTCATAGCATCATCAAGTTTAACCATGAATAATTATTACAATTTATTGAATCACTTCATAGAACTACTGAATTGTATGACAGTGAAACGGTAAATGTTTCATAGTACAAGGAATGGAAAAATGAAGTCAAGATGTGAAACCGCTTTGATTCTAATAGTTTTTGAAGCTTATTATTGCATGTCATTTGGAGAAATGACTCAGTTCATTCACAGTTGTCTGTGCCTCATTGCTTTCTCCTAGTCTCAGTTTTCATCTATTGTTTTTTATTACACAGTTTTGGCTGTTCATGCAGAAACCTGAGTCACTGGACCCGATGGCCAAATACCACAGTTTGACCTCTGGACTTGGAAACAATTACACTCAGCCACACAAGGTCAGAACTGACAATCAAGTTCCCTCACTCATCTATTTTTCATGCCTGTTTTAGTCTATTTTAAGCCTATTTTAAATCCAATTTTATATAGCACATTATAATCTGTAGGGTTTACAGTATATGCTTTGTGATTTGGTTAGTTCTGCAAGGGAATCCATGGACTTTCATGTTTCTCAGCTGTTGAACTTGTTCATACTATTCATTACTGATACTTTCCATAGTTTAACTGCTTTTTGTGTGTTTTCATCAATATCCATCTGAAAACACACAAAAAGCAGTTAAACTATGGAAAGTATCAGTAATGAATAGTATGAACAAGTTCAACAGCTGAGAAACATGAAAGTCCATGGATTCCCTTGCAGAACTAACCAAATCACAAAGCATATACTGTAAACCCTACAGATTATAATGTGCTATATGTAGCACTTTTTTAGCATTTTTAGCAAATTTGCATTAAATTGATAAAAATATGTAAAGATATTTATAATGCTACAGAAGAATAAATGTTCAGAAAATTCAATTCTTTTGAACTGTCTATGCATCAAAGTATCCCGAAAAAAACATTTTCAGTTTCCAAAATAAATAAATGCATAAGCGACACAACTGTTTTCAACATTGATAATAAAATGAAATGTTTCTTGAGCTCCAAATCAGAATATTAGAATGATTTCTGAAGAATCATGTGACTGTCTGAAGTTAAAATTGCTGCTGAAAATTCAGCCTGATATAAATTACAATTTTAAATTGTTACAGTTATTTTAAATTGTGATGAAATTTCACAGTTTTTTTTCACAGTTTTATTTTTCAGTTTTTACTCTTATTTTTTATTAAACACAGCCTTGGTGAGCATAAGAAACTTCTTTAAAAAACATAAAAAAAACTTACCAACCCCAATTTTTTGAATGATAATTTATCTATTCATAATTTATATATATTTTTAGCCAGTTTCATTTGTTCCTAGAGTGTTGTTCCTTGTTGTGTTGTTTAGGGCAAAGTCTTTTTTATGGCTCAACTAATAGTGATAGTTTAGGGCAGGATTACCAGTGTAGCCAAACAATGGAAGGCGGAAACAGTATTTTTGTAATTCTTTTTAGCACTTTAAATGGTGCAGAAATTAAGCAGTACAATTCCTGATCCAACTGCATTTTTTGCTTCTGTGACAGGTGAGAGAACTGGAGCCCATATTGTGTCAGATGGACCACAATTCTCTAGTGATCTGGACATCCTCCAGTAATGCCCAGCGATCGGCTTTTAGTCTAGATGACATACAGCATCAGAAAGGCCGTGAGCCCTACAGCTCCTCGAAATATGCGTCTGATCTACTTAGCTTAGCCCTAAACCGTCACTACAACAACCGTGTAAGTTCACAGTTCCCTACAGAAAATGGTTTATTGCATGACATGTTTCATACCGTAATAATTAATGATTATCATAATTGTGATTTAGTCATGAATACTAGTCATCTGTTCACAGGGTTTGTACGCATCAGTGATCTGTCCTGGTCTGGTCATGACTAACCTCACCTATGGCATTCTACCATCATTCTTCTGGACTCTCATCATGCCAATAATGTGGCTTGTAGGTCCTCAATTTACTTCATTTTGAATATCAACACAATAATGGAAAAGTTACACAAATTTAACATTATGTTAATGTCCTGTCCTATCTCATCAGATAAGGATTTTCACCAACACTTTTACCCTCTCACCTTACAATGGAGCAGAGGCTTTGGTAATTACCAGCACCATCACAGACATTCATATAGCATCATCAAGTTTAACCATGAATTGTACTCCATGAATTTTGAACTTCTGAATTGTTCAACGGTGAATCTGTACATGTTTCATACCGTAATAATTAATGATTATCATAATTGTGATTTAGTCATGAATACTAGTGATCTGTTCACAGGGTTTGTACGCATCAGTGATCTGTCCTGGGCTGGTCATGACTAACCTCACCTATGGCATTCTACCATCATTCTTCTGGACTGTCATCATGCCAATAATGTGGCTTGTAGGTCCTCAATTTACTTCATTTTGAATATCAACACAATAATAGAAAAGTTACACAAATTTAACATTATGTTAATGTCCTGTCCTATCTCATCAGATAAGGATTTTCACCAACACTTTTACCCTCTCACCTTACAATGGAGCAGAGGCTTTGGTAATTACCAGCACCATCACAGACATTCATATAGCATCATCAGGTTTAACCATGAATTGTACTCCATGAATTTTGAACTTCTGAATTGTTCAACGGTGAATCTGTAAATGTTGCATAGTACAAGGAATGGAAAAAATAAGTCGAGATGTGAAACCACTTTGATTCTAATAGTTTTTGAAGCTTAGTGTTGCATGTCAGTTGGAGAAATGACTCCGTTCATTCACGGTTGTCTGGGCCTCATTGCTTTCTCCTAGTCTCAGTTTTCATCTATTGTTTTTATTACACAGTTTTGGCTGTTCATGCAGAAACCTGAGTCACTGGACCCGATGGCCAAATACCACAGTTTGACCTCTGGGCTTGGAAACAATTACACCCAACCACACAAGGTCAGAACTGACAATCAGGTTCTCTCACTTATCTATTTTTATGCCAATTTTAGTTAAATCCAATTAATAATAGGCTTCCATTCTAGTCTATAGGGTTTATATGTTTTGTGATTTGGTTCATTATACAAAGGAATGCATGGACTTTCATGTTTTTCAGCTGTTGATCTTGTTCGTACCATTCATTACTGATACTGTCCATAATTTAATTGCTTTTTGTGTGTTTTCAGATGGATATTGCTGAAAACGTGTCAGAGGCCCTCTATGTGAGGCTATTAGAACTTGAGGATACAGTGCGGAAGAAACTGAGAGACGAGGATGTAGATATCAAAGCAAAAAACTAAATATGGACACAAAACCTCATGCATTCTATCGCTTTAGAACACATTTCCATCTTGAAATATTCACTAAGGAATGGATAAACTAGATATAGATAGATTTAGATAGATAAATAGATTTTTCTTAATGATCTTTAGAAACACAATATGAAATGATTATGATAATCTAGCATGGCTATAAACCACATCACGTTCTTCACTTATGTATTTACAAAAAAGTAATTTTATGCAGTTGGCAGACACTTGCATCCAAATTGACTTGCATTGCATTTAAGGTGCACATCAGTTATTGCTTTCCCTGGCAATCGAATGTACGACTGGCTTTGCTATCACCATGCTCTACTGTGAGATACTTATAAGTATTGTGCATTCCAAGTTGAATGGTTTTTACCATTGTAGTCAGTTTCTGACTCTGATGAAAATGGGACCACAAATCTGTCATGTATTTTTAGCTGTTTTTAATGTCCATTTTATTGTGCCCCCAAAGGGGCTTCTTCCAAGATGTTCTGAATAATATATATATATATATATATAATAGTATGGTGTCACTGCTGAGTGATTTGGGCCAAAATCAGCACAGGCTGTGAAAAAGGAAACTAAATCTGCTCTTTCCAGTGAATAAAAATGTATGTCTGGAACTGTGTACATTTTATAATTAATAATTCACCCAAAAAGTATAAACTCTTTATAGTGTTTGTTTTAAGGTTTCAATTGAACTTTCTTCCTACAAACAAAAAATAAATAAATATTGCAATCCACTCGCAGTAGATACATATGTGCAACTGAGACTTTCTTTTACAATCTATTCTTTTTTTCTGTGTTAGCTCTCAAAGTACAAAGCAAATGCAACAAAGTAATATGAAGTGCCTTGTAACAATTTATTTAACTACATAGCATTAAATTAATATACATATCAGAAACTAATGATTGTAATACTCTGGATGAGAGTTAGCAATGTAGGGAGATTGCAGATATTGATGGGTTGCCATGATGACGAAGATCATAAAGACGCACTTCCCTGTGTTAATAAAGAAACGTGGATGCTGAAACTTGACTTTGTATGCTTTGTTAATAAGTTTAGAGATTTTTGAATACATGTAATACGACGGCTTGTCAGTCTTACCTTTGTCTTGACGCTGGTGTCCTCTGGTTACCCGTGCAGATGATTGGGTAAATTACTATGAATATAACTAATGAAGCTGGAGCATACTTTGTGATGTTTTCTTTAAACTTCACAGTATTAATCCACAATATAGGATGATGAAGCGATGTAAGTGCGTGTCGGTTGATCCAGCAATTCGTGGCTGGTTAAATGTCGTGTATGTAGCGGCTGAGTTGTTTCCACATCTTCAGGATCCGCAAAGATTTGTTGCAGAGGGACTTGAGAAAAACTGCTCGTGTCGCACTCTGTTTGAAGCCGCTGAGTTTAGGGTTGCAGAATGCCCAGACCATGCCACAAAAGTACGCAAAAAACGCTGACATCACCAAAAACATGAGCGCATAAGACTCAATCATCGCCTCCGTCACCACATTCTGCATCCTTGCGCGCCGAACAACGCATACAAATACATAAACTGTGAACTGGTCAAAGTCCATTTAGCTGAATGTCCGTGAATCACGGTCGTCTTCAGTCCTCCTGCGCGCTTGAGCATCACAATTGAATTGCTTCTGTCTTTATGACAGTTCAAGGAAAGTTTCGCACTTCATTATGAAGCTTTGTCTAAAGAGAAATTAGATTGTAGGCTACACTGATGTTAACGGTATGAGAGGGCACGTGGAGAAAAACACTGTTTTAAACTAGTATTTAATTTGACCCCTAGGCGTATTACTGTCAGAAAATATGAGCATTAACAGTATCAGTTCTCACAAATAAAGTATTTGTGGTGGAAATTGTGATAATTGGACACTGACTTACTTGTTTTGCTTGCTCTAAGGATGATTTCATAGCTAAAATACAATTAAATAACATTTTTACACTTTTTGAATAACTTGAATGACACACAATAAATTATTCTGCTCACCAGTGATATTTACTTTGATATTTCCCCACACATCAGGGATTATTTTAGACAAAATTGTTCTTTATTGATTTTTCTGAATTCCATTATTTCAGGCAAACCGCATCAACGTTAATTTAGAAGCTTGTTTGGTGCACACCAAGGTTTCTTCACACTTAAACTGCACTAACAGCGTAATTGCACCAATGTTTTATTTCAACCAAACCTGCCAAGTGTGAACAACACACCCTTACACAACCCCAAACCTGTATGACTTCTGTGTAAAAGAGGAATTCTGAGAAATTTCTCAATATTTTCCATACAATGGAAGTCAATGTTAACCAAAATAATGATGACATAAGTGTGAGTAAATGATGACAGAATTTTAGGTGAACATGAGTCTGGGACAAGGGTAAAACAATAATAATGCATACATAAAAATCATTTTCAAGTAGTAAATAAAAGATAAAAGCAATGGAAAAAGTTTTCAAGATCATTTTTATGTGATCATGATATAATTAGGCCTACTTTGTTCACCTGGTCCTGGTAGACAAATAGGCCTGTAACAACATCATCAACCTATCCTACTTTAACCTACCCTATTCAGACATGTCTATAATTAAACTGCTAAGAGAATTCAAGCTTTGCACTCAATAATTAACTTGTGACAGGACACATTTTTGTCACAAAGATTGCTGAATGCCTGCTTTGATAGGGTTACTCCAGTAGTCCAAAACTAATTTGAGCTGTTTAGAAGACCAGTCATGGGGTCATATGACCTGACATATGACCTTGCAAGGGGTATTAGGGGTCTGTGTCAATGAGTAAAACACTTTTTATATACTTTATGTTAAAAAGGGTGCTTTACTCTTCTATTTTAAGTTAATTCATTGACAGTTATAGCTTTGACACTACTACAAAAAGTAAGTGAAATATTTAGATTTATAGATCTTTACGTAATCTTCTATCTACAATAATAGATCATTTTAATACAATGACAATACAAACGCCAATCTAGCAAATAACAATGCTGAGTCAGTTCTCTCTCTCTTCTCTCTGGAGTATATTGTGCGACTACATGTCCCATACGACTTTGCGGCCAGAGTCCCGGATGTCTTTTACGCCGGAAGAGAAGCGCGAGTCTTTTCCAGCCATCTTGTGGCATCTTGCAGCGAAGTGCTCGCTCAAGCCCCGTAGAATCGGAGGAGAATCCTGCTGAAAGGGGGCCATCATGCCCGGACATCTGCAAGAAGGTTTCTGCTGTGTCGTAACCAATCGGTTCGAGCAGCTATTTGATGATGTAGAGGATCCGTTTGAGGTGTTAAAGCAGGCAGAAAAGAAGAAGAAGGACGCGACCGCTCCTGGTGCCGCCAAGACCGCAGCGCAGGCTGCGAAGCAGTCCAAAAAGGAGTCACAGAAAGAAAGAAGAAACCCAGCTCCCGAGAAGAAGGAAGAGACACAAGCTCCCGTTCCTCTCAAGAAAGATGGTAAACATCGCTTGCATTGAACTCGTCATTTGCTCACACTTGTCATATGTGAGTAGTCTGCAAAAGGAGCTACTAAGCCCATGAGGTCACGCACATCACTATTGTTGATGAACTGCCTGACATATCTCAAAAACTTCCAGCGCTTTCAGCAAATATGCTTTTTCGCGCCGTACATTGTTTCTGTGTGACGCACGTTAGTGAAACCTGTTGCTGCTTAATTATTTTCTAGATCCTTCATGAACTGCAGGCCTAATGGTAACCATCAGTTTGTTTGTTAAATGTCGGGTATATTTGTGCATTTAACTCAACATACTAGTAAAAATGTCCCATTCAGTGCTAAAAAAAAACTGTTTATTGATAGTCTCCGAATGCACAGTCAGTTATCGCATGGGTTTTTATTAGCGTCGAGCAGCAGTGCAGCTCCAACCTCGTGTTTGAGGCAACAGAGTCCGTTCTCGCAGACATGACACTCCCATTGAAAACCCTCCTATTGTTGGCCTCCTACAACGCCGGTTTTTAACTTAATTACGTGCTTTAAAATTGTGCCGGTCTGAACTATTCTTAAGGTAGGGCTGTCAAAGTTTTTTTCGGGTGTCGGTGGCCCTGACTGATCTGGATGAGAGGAGGCAGAGACTCGTGAACAGGTGCGCGCGGGCGCGTGATCAGCTGTTGGGTCGCGCGAGAGCGTCTATTTCTGTAGGTGGAGGGTGGGATCAGTCAAGAGGCGCAAACCATTGTTATCGAGACCCACAGCGTGGGTTTTATTGCTTTGCTAGTGTGAAAACTAAGTATAGAAAAAAAACACGTCCCCTGCGCAAGTAAATAAGGAAAATAGACAATTTAAAGCAGTCCAGCTGAAGAAGTAATAGAATAATAGTGTGTATTTACATCGTTCTTCCCTTTCAGAGAATTTCGGTATTGTCCATTTTTAGTTAAAAGGATAGTGTTTCTAGAAATTAAATGTATTAACATCCTCGTGTTGTTTTAAAGCTTTATGAGATACCCCTTACGGAAATTAACCATGGTTTCATTGTAGTAAAAGTGTAGTAACCATGTTTTTTTTGGCGTATTGAATACCATTTGTATAACCAGTTTTACTTCAAATACCATGGTTAAACTATTGTTAGTTTAGCAAAACCATGGTTAATTTGTGGATACCATGGTTTAACTATAGTAACCATGTTTTTTTGTTTAATTTGTAGTAAAACCATGGTTAATTTTCGTAATGGACTATGACGTTCACTTTTTTTAATAAAAGTGATTGGTGGCAGATTCTGTAATTCAGCCTCTAGAGTTACACTAATGAAAAGAGTAACACTGTTTTGGAGCAATTTTGAGGGTGAGTGAATAATGACAATTTTTGTACTTGTCAATCACATTAATTGAAGTGAATTTTATATGATTCAGATTAAGACAACGCCTTTTGTTCTAGTGTCCCCCCCCCCCCCCCCCCCTCCCCTT